TTTAAAGTAAATTTTGAAAACGGGTCATTTGACCTCGCTTGGTACGTTTAGTATTAACTGCGTGAATCAGCTATCAGATGATCGACATCTTAGTGCTAGCAATTTTTTTGTGATTAAATTAAATGTAAGCACGAGTCAAACACGTTTAAAAAAGCGAAACCCATATCGTGGATGTCATACAATTTCAATATAAACAACTTTATCAGCGTGATTATAATCATCATGATTTCCAACATACAATGTCATACATACGTACATCAAAGCGACACAGCTGTCACTGCGAGTAACATTCAAATTCCTCACAAACGTATTGAAACCTGCAGTTCTACTTGCCGAGTAACGTGTTCAAATTTCTATCGGCAATCCTCGCATTTCTTTTGAAAGCAAATTTTCAAATTTGCCATTACCACCCTCTGTGGTAATGGCAAAGCGGCACGCAGAAAGCGTAGGCGCGTGCATTATGTACAATGGGCTCGAACGGGGACATTGTTCTATTGAGAATGCGGTGTTAAGTGGGGGGGAAGCTAGGGATAAAAAAAAAATCCATTCATTAAAAACAACGTTTGAATGACAGATGAGGAGTTAAGAAGCACGGTAATCACGGCTTCGCCGGCCTATTACCATGTATCATTACGGTATTGTTCGATGCAACAACGAGTACAAGGCTTCCCGCGTTGCGTTCTGCGGCTTGTTTCATCCACGGTGCCCGCAAACCGACGCTGCTCACGCACCGATCTACGAATCTATCGGTTGCGATGGAGACGGCGCGCCGCGTATCCAACAGCACTGCCGACGAATACACAATGTTGCCACTGTGACCGAGTTAATCCAGGGAATTGCGCTTTCGTTCGATCCCGTTGCGGGGAAGAGGGGAAGGGGAGAATATCTAACATCGAAGCAAACGAGACGCCAAATTCAATTTCTTTCTCTTCCCTCTCGTCCCGTTTTATCGTTTCATATCGATTTATCATTGGAAGCATATATGTGTATCTGAAATAAGAAAGATGGAGTTGAGTCGTGCAACGGGTAGAAAGGCCGCGTTTAGAAAGTATTTTATAAATTAAACATTGCTTTTAGCCCGCGTCTCTCACCTCTTGGGCCAACAATTTCTCATACTTACGAATGGATGAAAGTGCTTTCAAAATTCAGTGTGAACGATCAATCTTGATCGATCTGTGCCTGAATATATAAACATTCGTCCATCCGGGTCCTTTTCGTTCCATATTATTTCATAGATCGCTACTTGTTCGAATATCGTACACAGGCAAACCAGTGAAATGCAGGCTTTGAATATTTTTTTCAAAGTATGGTCGTTTTCAACACGTGACGCGGTACATTGGCCCACAGAACCCGAAAATAAAACTCGTATGAAGATACACACGTGTCTTCTATCGTGTCGGAAGATAGCACATTCATGAATTATACATGATGGAATACTATACGTACATATGAGTCACAGATTACACGTCATTTGCTCAAATAAAGTAACATTACCTACTGTTGATTTCTCCATTAAATCCGATCTTACCCACTGTTTAATTTTTCTTTAAATTCGATCATCGGTAAAACTGGAAGAAATTCATCGAAACTATAATATAAAGCATGATCAAAGAATAACGATCAATTTAAAAATCATCGAGTATAAAGGAAAAATATTTATAATTCAACGAACAATTTAAAAATCAATAAATAATAACGATTAAATAATTAAATAATAACAATTTAAAAATCAACAAATAATAACGATCAATTTAAAGATCATCGAGTATAAAGGAAAAATATTTATCATTCAACGAACATTCTTCATTTGAACATTGAATGTTTTTTTTTTTTATATCGAAATTTTTCAACAGAAGATTGAAGAGTACGCTTAGTGTTTAGCGGACGTGGTTGCTATAGTAACCTTACTCTCCTGCCCTAGAAATTCCTTGCTAAGCATTCTAGATTCCTTCGCCAATGTATCAGACCATGTGTTAATTTAATGTTTCCATGTGTTCTTGTATACTCGCACTTCTGCCTTAGAAATTCCATACTGAACTGATCGTTAACGTAAATTCTTAGGTTAACACGTTTCACGAACTAATTTATCGCAAGCTTCAAAAATATTGTCGGTAATTACTGGCAAATATGTTTGCTTATCATATGAGCAAATTTAAAAGATATTGTCGGTAATTGTTACTAACAAACATAAAAACATTAGCTCGAATATTACTTTGCAGATTTATCTAGATCTTGCTGTCATAACAAGTTTAGTTAATCATTAATAGTTTAATTAATCGAGCATGTATGTTTTCGTAGCAAATTAAATTAGTTATGTAATTAAAAATTTGAATAAATGGAAATTATGCTGAAAGACGAATTTATTACAAATTCCCTTCATAAATCAGTCAATCTTCTTCCTTTTGGGGAAGAAACGCATCGTAGCAGAAAGGTTTCGCCTCCGCGGGATATTTTAAAATATTTCTTGCGAAATACGGTTTTAGAAACAAAGTTGAAGTTCCGTTGCCTTCGCGCGGAATATTCTGAAATACTTTCCGAGAAATTATATATGCTAAAAACGAGGCTGAAGTTTCCCAAACGATTTTAAAATCGGTCATCGAAAAGAAGCCGAAACGATTTATTTTTAATATGCTACCCGGCGCATTACTTATCGATAATCGATTCCGAATCGGTTAGCAGCAGAACGAAGAAAGTTCGTTGGACTTCCAGACTCGGCGCCAACTTTCTAAAATATCACTGTGACTTATTGCTCTTATTTCTTAATTACGTTCGGAGCGTCACACGCATCGATATCAAATCGATTTCGCGTGAAAATAATTCAACGTTTCCATTCTGTCGACGCGAGCGCTTGCACGCTGCCACGTGCACGGACATAAAAACGTTCTGGCCAATGACGACAGGTGCAGCGAGGAAAACTTGTCTTTTTTTTTCAGCAGCTTCCGTAGAAATATAGAATGAAGCATGACGTCTGCTCGTCACGACTTTTTTTTTTCCTTTTTTATCGACGAGCGTCTTCTTTTTTTGTACGACTTGCATCTTGCGCCGAAGATTTTTGCACAGATTTGCACGTGAAATTTCATTGTTCAAGTCATGCGTGACGATGGAGATCTGTCATCGGTACATTACGCTAGGAGTCGCGACTTTCGCAATCTGAATTTAGTCAATCGGCCGCAATACATACTTTCTACCACTAAGCTGCATTATCGATGGGACAACCTGCCACTGAAAACACTCTAAATAGAAATAGAGGACAAATGATTCTATGTTGACAAGTTTGATGAAGTTAAATAATTAAAATTTGTTCTACGAATATAGATACGAAACAGAAGTTCTTTAAGCATTGATCGTTCGAAGCTGTTAGAAAAGTTGAAAATGTGCTGCCATTGGTCGAAAAGTTCAAAGCCAGACGGACTGTTTTATCTTTTCATTATTGCAACGATCCTCTCACTTCGTATCTTTAATTACAAACGTAACGTCTCGAGATCTGTACTCACGGTGCTTCATACTTGCTGATTTTCCCTCGTCGATTTCAAACTTGTGTTGCCTCTACAGTATATAATAACACAGCAGTCGGCAAGGCGTAAAAGTCACGTGTAGCGGAACTCAGAAGTCTTGAGAGATCCTAGCGAAGGAACACACGCGTCACAGATGCATCATCTCTCGGTGCAAAAAAGAAAATAGTGATTCGTCGAACCACTCATCGGTCGACTCGCGACGAGAAGTAACACAACATCAATCTATTCTATTATTCGCGATCGAATCTCAAGGTAATCGAATCCGTACGATGTACGATCGAGTTAAATCGATGTCATAATATCTGTAACTGAGGACCGTGAACCCACGCCGCATCTGTGTATATACAACACACACGGTGTACAGTTTCGGCGGCTCTTTCTGCCACCTATGCGCGCCCCCTTCGAATTTCTCGCTTGCACACGAGGTCAAAAGGAAGAAAAAGCTATTCACTAAGTTCAGATGGTTAGGTCAAGTGTTTTCCCGGCGTAGTCTCGAGGAGCACTTGTTGATTCCGGACGAGCATAGCTCTGACCAGCACACTGAGAACCACACCTTACGAGAGACTGTAGTGAATATACGGTTCGAGTTGAAAGGCCCTCGCCCGTGAGACTACATCAGGTTCGTATCTAGCCAATGGAGCCCGTGTCACGCGATCGATCCACGCTCCTCCCGATCCCTGTTTATACTACAGACCAATCCTGTAAAATCAATTGTCCAATGTGTCAGCATCGTGGAGAATTATAAATCGTCTTCTTTGTTCCAAAATCAAGTAATTTGTAAATTTTCACTTTCTTAGAGATGAAGTTTGTTCCAAATTGTTCTTTAAATTATACAACAGATCGTGAATACCAGATGAACAGAGTTACGAATGTAATGTGATAAACGTAGCACAACAACGATTCTACTGTCGGTTCGATTCATTATTTCGAAAATTATCTGACATTTTATGTTAATATATTATCATCTCTGATCAGACATGCTAATTATTGTAGATTGTAATTTGTTGTGATTAGATTGATAGTTGTGGCATAAGGTTTATTTACTTGGTCCTGACGTACGTTTACTTTTGACAGAAATATTTTCGGTATCCAAAAATAACGATCAAATATCAAACTCTTGATTTCAAACAAAAGGAATGTTGGAAAATGTTGAGGAATGTGGCAAAGCCACGTCTAGACTTTGGCATATTTACGTATTTTACCACATGTTCTATTACTGAACAACAGTCTCTCGACTTTTACTCTATGAAACGGAGATAGCAAGGGAAAAGCGCGACATACCAAAACTCCGTGCCGTAATCCCAAGCGAAACTCAAGAAGAAACTATCAAATATCAAGGTGAAGTGCACGAGGACAAACGTCCAATGACCAGCAGATTATTATGAATGATTCTGTCCATGTGTAGACTTTAAATACAACCTAACCTAACTTAAACCATGTTGTATAGTAAAATAAAAATCCAATTGACCCATTAATTACCATATCCTAGTAATAAAGCGTTTCAGTCTTAATTTCAATCATTCTTTTGTTTTGTAATTTCAACTTTAGTTCAACTCCAAATTTTGTTAAACACAAAGATATTGGTTTATTAGCTTGATAACGACGTTGAATATTGCAGATATCGTCTGACGATAGCAGAACGCTGTAAGTATTCCGGCACTCGAAGGGAACATGTCGAGGAGATAAATTTTTTTGAAAGACCCGTTATGCCCGGCAGTAAATAATTAGTAGGCACCCCGCGTACTTGTTTAAGAAGTCATTCAGACATAGTAGTCTCGAGCCGTCCCTGAGCCGTCGTAAAGAGAGAGGGACTACCTACTTGCCTCCAAAACGGGGGTTCGGCGTACCGTACACTCACCGCGCTGTGTTCACCACAATTTTATCGACGTATTTTTCGTTCTTTCTCTTTTCTTCGTTCCAGCTTACGCATACCTCGCTGCTATCCCTCACCCGATAACCGTGTCGACCTCGAAAAATTTCTGCCATACCATGCGAATTGACTAAAGTTGACCTCCTCCACGGAATTCGTCATGTCTATGGAAAATAGATTGCAAACTAAATTTTTATTGCATTGTCATTGTACCGACATAAATAAGTGACGTATACAATAAGTGTAGAAATTTAAAGTATTTCAAGATACGATATCAGAGGAACCAATTGTCTATGAACGTGTACTCGGTGAAAGAACGCAACTTGTTTTTACCGGTATTCCAGAGCATAAATTGTAAAACCGGTTTTAAAGACAAATGCATCCCGAAAAAAAAGAGAATGAGAATGGGTTCGATAATGGAACTACAGATTCGATGGTGATCATGATTGTGTAAATGCATTGACCAATTAGAATAGATTGGACAAACAATGTTTTTCCGTGTCCCATATTTTGGATGTCCCTGTACCATTTTCGTGTCACATCCTACCATATCGATTTAAGCAAGTTTTTGCACCGTAGCGCCACTAGTAACAGGAACATTGACCTCCTATTAATCAGTGGTGCCAGTGATTTCTTTCCTGGTCGGTATTTCAGACTCTAAGACACGATGTCTCATTTCATGTCTGGTCTATTCTGTCATGGTAAATGCTTGTTAGGGATGTTGAAATATTTGATTATAAATAGAAGAAACATGTGAATGAGAAATTGTATTCGCGGATGGGCTGTCAGTGTCATTGTAATTGGAAAGATAGTCGTTAGATGGTACAACTATATATTACGAGAAACTTGTCTGATTCAAATCGAACTAAAATCTACAACTAGCTTGTAGAAATTAAAAATCAAATTGTTAATCTCTTTTGCAGATATGCTGCAAAATGAAATTGTTTGAAATATAATAATAATATAATAATACCTATTATAGACAGGATAATTGTTCACAAATGCATTTGGAAAGGCAAATTAACATTAATTTATTGTCATTTGTTTATTTTACTGTTCCGCTGTTAATTGGACATTGTAACTTTGTTTAGCACTACTATTATTTACTATATGTTATTACTATTATTTATTAGCGTGAAAAAAATTCTTTATTGAGCAAAAGAGTGACGCCATAGGTTTTTCAAAGTGTGACCATGTATTTTTTTAATATCCTTAATGACGTAAAGTTATCGTATTTTTTTTTTTTTATAAAAATATTACTCTCATAATATTGACTCACATCGTGTGTTTTTAGATACTATCACACGTTTAGAAGTACTATTTCTTAAAATACAGATTCTTCTCGAGAAAAAAGAAACTCGACCGATTGCATCTTCATTAACTTCTTCTTCCTACGTGACGAGCATTCAAATGTCACACGTACCATGTAAATGTCATGGCAATAAGAATATACTTGCCCGTTGTCCGATATCAACTCTTGTCGCAGACAATTTCAAAAAAATTGTTCGCCGTCGCGGCTACGAAATGTTAAAGCATCCTATTACTCTATCAGTTTTCAGGAATCAATGAAACAATGAATCAATTTACTTCAATTTCCCGCTAACCACGCACGAGTTCTTCCACGAGGAAATGTGCGCAAGTGCGAGCCACCTCGGACTGGCAGATACGCATGTGTACTCTGTTCCTTATACACAAGTTTCGTTTTGCTTTTCATCTCGTCCAGACGCTCAATTCTCTCGGCCAGCGGTGTCCGGCAAATTTCGAAGGGAAACGCGAATGAAACAACTGCATCGCGTCGTACACGTTTCTCGCTAACACGTTTATAGCTAAACGCTTCAAAGCAGGTGACATGTCACTGTTTGCCTGCTGCATACGTCGGGTGAGTCTTGTTATCTTTGCCGGCAAATCAACGCGATTCATCGAGCATATCTGTGTATGTACGTTTGGATAGTGTAGGTTTGGATTTTGTAGTACGCAATTTTATTCGCTCGAAAATTGTACTATTATTGGAAGTATTTGTCTATGAAGGTAACAATTTTCTTTTCATTATTTTAGACACGAATTTAGTGAAATATAATGTCAAAGAAGAAAAACTCGTCGTCTCTTTTAATGTACTTTAAGATTATTACATATAATATAAGATAACTTGTTGATAAAACGAGACAACGGTAATTGTAATTATATCTATGAATAGCCATTTATCTAGCCATATTGTGAATCTACCGATTGTCTCTCGGTATATTACCTTCATCATCTTTATTCATAACAACTATCACTTTGGAAATGAATTTATACATTTAAACTTCGTTTTTAAACAAACTTGTGTCTTCAAGGCTTGAAATTCTCCTAAACAATTATTAAAAATATCTTCCCATCAGAGAATATAAAATCAGAATTCGACAATCGCCTAACGGAATGATAAATTCGATAATCGAAGATAATAACAATGAAAGGACACGGCGTACATTGGAAGTTGATTAAATTCAGAGATAAAAGAACAGCGGGAACAATGGCGTTTCGTTGGAATTCATCGGAGCCAGGCCACAATTGTCAGAAACCGTTCGAACGAGCAACAGAATGGTACAAGAAGAAATCGCTTGTTTACCAGAAAATAAAAAACAAAATCGATGGCTTGTCGATTTTTCCATGGCCGCGGGCTAGCCTTAATTCTTGCGCACCCCTGTCGCTCAGGTGGCAGAATCGGTAAACAGAAGAATGAAGTTAACATCGCGTTTGCGGGGATAGCCGTGGGCTCGGAGCGTGTACGACGTAACTCGCTAGGGTGAACGGATAAATTTTCCGCTACTTAACGGATTTCATGCTCAAGTATCAAAGAGATCGCGTCCTTGCTCTAATCAACGCGCGTATTAATAGAACACGCGACTTTGGTTTTGCAAATTTTCTTAGGATCCTCGCGCGTGCCTCTATTATTCTGCCTGCAGCTTGCTCACGTCGCAGGCGATTGCCGCCTATTCGAAATGAATGACGCTCGAAGGAGAAAAGGAAAGATTAAAAATACGTCTGCGCGTCTTGTCGATTGCGAGGGAGAAGTTACGAACGGTGGGATTCGGTCGATCAACGTGCAAAGGTTTAATTTTACACGAACCGTTCTTTTTTTAAGCCAGCCGAGCTGGCTGATTTTTTATCCAGCCTTTTAAACGAGAATTTCACCGGCACAAGTCATCGTTGCGTGTACGTTCTCGTGGAGCTCTTCGCATTGTTTGACCTTCGTATGTCTGGTGGTTTCGCAGAATCAACGAGAAATGGAAAATAATCGTCAACAGACTTTACTGAAAGAACCACCGGAAATATCATGGGAGAACACGCTTGGCGCCCCGGATGGCGTTCCATTCGATGACGAAACAAAGGAATTACTTAGGAGATGCATCGACGTATCGACACCCACACCTACGACTTTGGCGCAGATCATCAAGCGAAGCGAGGCCTTTCCTATAGATTTTCCCACTAACACCGTAAGATGTTCCACGCTGAGGGACAGTGGAATTAACGCAAGCACCCTCGAGGTTAGCTAAAGTCTAAAACTGTCACTTGTTTTTTTTTCTAGTAAGTTGCATCTTTTCCCTCTTAATTATTATACGTCCAATGAGTATGCCGAAACGAGCCTCCGCTTTTCAAATTTTACCTTCCCTATAAATCTCTATAAATAACTTTGATAGAAATTATTCGTTGTTCAATTGCAGATGAACGCGAATTCGGTTTATCCTCTGATACACGAGGCGATGTTACCGTTGCTAGCTCGATGGTTGAAGTACAAACGGCAATATGGTAGCGCGATCGAGAGAGCCACGTACAAGGACATGGGTCTGGTGCAATTTATCCACCGTTTGATAGAGAAACGTGCGGTACATTTCTACGGGTCTAACGATCGATGGAAATTGATCGATGGTAAGGCGGGCGTGGAAGGATGGGAGAATGTTGGCACGGATCACGAGAAAGAACCCTTGGTTAGTTTGTTTATTTGTTTACTTTTTTTACATTGGCACAGTCTTTTTCTTTCGTTTTGTTTCGTTTCGAAAAAAAAAAAAAAAAAAAAAAAAAAAAAAA